CCACAAGCCAGAGGTGAGATCCTTTTTCAACAGAGGGGTTAATTAGTGGCTGATTTTAGACTGTACCTTCCTGGTTATGCCCTGCATGCAGCCATCCCATCCCACTCCAAAGGGAAGGCTGCCTGTTTGTAAGAGGGAAATGAGTGCAGTGAGATTCCCACCTGAAAGAACCAAAGCCTTTGCGTTTGTCAGAAACCCTTTCCAATTCTGACAGCCTAACAAGGAAATTGTCTCCATAAATTTGCCATCCTTAGAGTGTGCTGTGACTGGTGTATCTGGGTGTTTCTGAGCTCCCAGGCAGTGGAGAGATCTGGAAGCTGGAATGGTGGTTATTCCCAGAGGAGATGTCACACGGGTGCCAGTTCACACACAGTGCCCCTTCCCTGTGTTTTCCTGCCCTGCAGCTCCCGTGGGCCTCAAGTGGGAAGTTCAGTCCCTGGGTGCCCTTCAGCCTTAGGTTCTGCTGCTGCACCTGCAAAACAAGAGCTTAATTAGTGTTAATTATAACAGCAGCTCAGTAAGAACCGGACTAACCCCCTCGCGGGCAATCCAGAAGTTAAAAGGTGGGAAGGACCGGGATGTGTGTTGGCTGGGGGAATCTGTGCGAGGCTCCAGCCCCGTGGAGCTGCGAGACAGAGGAGCTGCCTCGTTCCCTGGGTGAGCATCAGCTCCTCATTATCATATCAAAGGCCGTGGCAGAGCTCACTCCTCCACACACCGAGCGGGGGAGTTTATTGCGGAAACTTCTCCTTCCCCTTGTCTGCCTCTGTGCCTACTCCCCGAGGTTCGTTTTGATTCGGGGGGGATGAATAAGCCCCAAAACACAAAAGAAAGACGAGACAGAGTGGGTGACTGTCACATCAGGGCTCTCAGAGCCTCAGCTGAAGGCTCTGAGCACCAGGGGAGGGTGGAGGTGGAGGAGACAATCTTAGACGCTGTTCCCAGCACTGCCTCTTACAACTGTGTTTTCTTCTGGTGGGATGGTCGCTTAACGGTTGACAAACGGGAAGAGACGTCTCTGATTCCAGAGAGCAAATTGCACAGCGAATTAAAACGCTCCCTGAAGGCACTGCTGCTCCCTCTGCTCTCAACACAAGCAAAGCCTGCAGTAAGTGCAGAGCAGGTACCCCCATCCCGGGGCTCTCAGGGGTCACTGTCCCTTTGGATAAGGAGCTGTGTGGGTAATAACTGACCCTACCATTCCCTTTGGGTAATGACAGGACCAGTCTGTGGTCGTCAGGGAGGGGGGCTCATTTATGTCCCATGAAACCCCAGGAAAACAGAGGCAACTCCCCCTTTGGTTCACGGCAGCTCAAAAATTGGGCTGCCCTGCTCCATTCTACTGGAGCCTGCAGAAATCCATACTGGGTTTCATTAAATCCATTTAATGAAAGCTTTTGATATACACTGTGATATAAATCGCTCCCTGGGCCAGGTATAACTTGAAATTATACCAAAATGAGATCAGAATTTGTTCTTCCACATCTTGTTGTTCTGTTTGCGAATCCAGGAGCTGGGCCCTCCACAGTTGCCATAATTCCCCCTGAACAGGGGGAATTAATAAATTTGATAATTTGGGAAATAATTTGAACAGAGCAGCACTGCTGACAGGGCTTGTGAGCACCCCCAGGAACGTTAAGGTGTTGCACTGAAGTGAAATTTGTGTCTCCACGCTCCTGGAATTAGATCGTTCACCCCACTCCAACATAAAGGTCTAATTTAGCTGCCTTCTGATGCTACCTGTCTCTACATCAGTTAGAAGGGAAATAGTGTGGCTGTTTAGACTCAGCCCAGTGCATCCTAAATGGCATTGCCTGCAGTGAATCCCATCCTGAACAGAACAGCAATCCCTCTGCATTTCCACCTTTCCACAGGAGTCCAAAGGCCCTCAACCTGTCCTGCCATTTGGTATTAAATCCACCCTCTGCAGGCAGCTGATACCCATGGCTCTTTAACATATTTCAAACTTTTGAGGCCGTTGACAACTTTCTGCCCACCTCAGCAAGAGCACAGTGATGTCACTGGCTCCCTGAAGGGTGGCTTCCAGCTGAAAAAACCTGTTTGAGGTCTGGCTTGTCTTTAATCAGTACAATTTGGAAGATGTCAGTTGAAATAATGCATGAAACTAAGTCACAGTGTGGGGATAAGGAAGCAAAGAACCAAGATGCAGAGACTCAGAGCCGGGGAGAAGGTGCTGCCTCCCTGGTGAGTGGAAAAATGGCCCCTAAAAGGCCTCCAGTGCTGATTGAAGTAGCACGAAGATTGTGGCTTTGAGAGGTGCCCGGTTGCATCAGCCTCCCTGTGACAGGGAGGAGCCACAGCACAAAAATGCCCTCAGAGCTGGGTGGGGTCCGTGGGCCGGGGGTAAATCGCTGAGCTGGCACTTGGGCAGAGGGGTGGGCACAGCTCTGAGTAACCCCAGAAAGGGCAGAATTATCCACCTGCTCGTGGGCAAACGTCCTTTGGGGAGAGATCTCGTTCCCCAGCTGAAGGAAACGTGTGAGAAGTTGGGGGAGTGGAACTTTCTGCATCCCCAGGGGTTTGGGGGGGGGGGCCCGTGAAAACCCAAACCCCGCTTTAAAACCCCCTCAGCGCACCCCACTCGAGTGGTGTCGGCAGGGATGGTGCCAGCAGATGGCAGTGCCCGGCAGAGTTCCACCGTCAGGAAAACGGGGAACGTGCTCCAAAAAAAAGGTGTTACTGGCGCTGAGTGAGGCACGGAGCCGTTCCCACGCGGGAGCCGTGGGGAAAACCCTCCCCGCAGCAGTGGCCACGCTGCGAGCCCACTCTGCTCCCCTGGGACCCCTGTCCACGCCTTTGGAGTCGGGATGTGGGAGGTGGGAAGGAAGAATTCTCCTTTGCCTTGGCCGTGACACACCGAGCTCCGCAGCCTCTCAGAGACTCCGCTCCTCCAGGACAGCACGAAAGCTCCTTCTCCATTTCCTAAATTCGTTCTAAATCGTATTAAAGGAGATTAAATGAAGGAGGAAGCAGAGCTGAGGCCGTTCTGAAGGTGGCACTGTCCTCAGTGCTGGGGGAGCAGCAGCCAGGGACCTGCTCTGAAAGCCAACGCTGATTTTAGGGGGACTGACTCTCACACTGGAGGAATTACTGCTTAGAACTTTGTAACTAAGTTTGAACGCTTCTTAAAATACCCAAACTGTTAATGTACTCCCCAAATTGCACTTTTATAACGTTATCATGGACACCCTCCTGAAAGGTAAAACTGATACTGCTGCAAAGACATCCCTAAGAGCTCCGAGCAGGCAGAAGATGGAACATAATTTCAGAGGATTTAATCAGCACTTTATTACCAGGCCTTTTGCTTTCACTGCAAGTGGTTTCACTGCTGATTTGAGCTCAGTCCTCAGAGCTGTTTGCAGCTAATGCTGGAACAGGAGCCAGGCTGGCTGGGCTCATCTCATTGCCCACACGGTGATGGAGTGGGAAATACAATCTAATAAGTGGAAAAGCAAAATTACATCTGCAAACCAAATTTTTAGTGGCCAGTCCTTGGTCTGGCTCCAGATTCTTGTCCCAGCTGGCCAGATCCAGCCTCTGTGGTTGGGCTCAGGTGAACTTGGAGGTCGTTTTCAACCTTAATGATTTTCTGATTCTGTGATTCCACCTAAAGATCAGAGAAGAACACTGATAAAAATGTGTGTTTATAGAGATGGGCTTCTTAACCCAGCCCCCAGGCAGTATGATTATTCATAATATTCAAATCCCTGGTTATTTCCCTTTCTGTCTGTGCATTTCTCCAGTCTAGTTTCCATAATAAGGTGTTAATGTAGCCTAGAATTAACCTGATCAGAAACAGGTTTCCTGATCTACAGGAAGCTCCACCAGTTCCATTTTTAACCTGTTCAGAAAGAAAAAGGAATGCAAATAATAGGTTGCAAAATGTCCACACAGTAAAATAAAAATGCCATTCCAATGCTGATGTATTTCATTAGTAATAGTGTAACTTTAAAAAAATAAATAAATTGAAAACAATTCAAAGCAGAATGAAAATAGCTTTAATATTCCAGCCATACTGACACATTCCTGCGGGGCTTTGGTTTTGAGAAGTTCACTTTTCTTGACCAGACAAATCTCTGAAAGCATTTCTGATGGGCTGTAATGAGTGTGGTCCTGGAGCAGAGAATTAGGGAGGACACGGGGACAGGATCAGGGGAACAGGGCAACAAAGCCTGGAGGCAACCTGCAGTCACCAGGCAGGTCTGGCTCATATCTGCTGCTGGCCTGACATTTGCTTTTCAGAAGAGGAAATATTTTACTAAGCTGAGGAGACAGTGTGGTATTATCAATGATAAAAAAAAAAATAAGGAGAAAAAGGAAAAGATAAAAAAAAAATACAGCAAAGCACTGAAGAACTTGGAGAGCATTCCCTGGATGGATCCCAGGAAAACACCACAACTCCATCAGCAAACACCACGGCAGGAGCTTGATGGTTGACAGGCAGGGGAGCGTGCCAGAGGAATCACACTGTCCCTCCTTGTCCCCACTTTTCCCAAATTTCTTTGGTCCAGCCTGGAAGAGAGAGTTCCCACAGTGCCGATGGCTATGGACACACGTGCTCCCCGTGAAATGTGCGGCTTCCTCCCGCTGCTGGGAACTGCTTTCTGCTCGTGTGATTCCAAAACCACAAGGGCACATCCCCCAGCCCCTCAAAACCCACATCCCAGCCAGTAAATCCGGGACGGGATATCCCGGGAGGGGAAGGGAACTCGGGGCAGTGCTAGGGGACTGGAGGATGCCGGAGGTCTTTCCCAGCCCCAAAGCTCCCGTGATCCCGAGCTCCGGGGCTCGGATTCGCCTCTCCCCCCTCCCCACCAGCCCTCCCCCCGCCCGGCAGCGCCCAAACCCCTCCCTCGGCCTCCCTCCCCACCTCCGCTCCGGCTCATTCAGAACAGATAAGGCGCCGTCACACGCAGCCTCCCCTCCCTCCCCTCTGCCCCAGCCCTTTAAAAAGCTTTATGCCACCAAGAATCCCTCGGAACGGGAAGGGCGCGAGCAGGGAAAGGCAGGCAGAGGAGAGGCAAAAGTATCTCCGCAGCAGCGGAGGGTTCGGAGCAGAGCAGGGAAATCAGGGATACCCGGGGACAGGGGCGTGGGCATCCACATCCTCAGTGCCACGTAAATGTTCCCTCCCGTCAGGGAAGGAGGCAGGAGGCAGCGCGGGGACCCGAGGACGAGCCCAGCTCGCTGGTGATGGCATGGACCGGCCGCTGCTCCAGCCGCGCTGCCCACTGCCCGCTGCCGCCCGGCTGCCCCCGAGGGCGCGACACTACTGATGCGGAGCCGCTCGTAGCGAGTAAGTCACCGCGTTTCCTTTGTTATTCCAGCTCCCTCCTGCGCTCCTCTGGCTGCCAAGGACCAGGAGAACAGCGGGCGGGAGGACTGAGATGAGGTGTCGGGTCAGCCGAGGGCCAGGGCTCCCCAAACCCGCCGCGGTGGGAGCTGGGGGAGATGTGCTGCTGTCCAACTCAGCAGCGCCGGGGAACTCTGTGGGAAGCCGGGGATGGGATGTTGATCCTGGGCAAAAGCACCGGCAGATCTCAGGAAGGGATTCTGCAGGAAAACACGTCAAAAAAATCCGAAGTGGTGTTAGTGGAGATCACTGGAATGCAAAGGGAATGGGGAGACCGATCAGTCATCAGCCCTGAAATGCATGGAGTGACTCCATAATCCTTATCTGGAGTCAAAGACTAAATTCTTTCATGATTAGGGTACTTGCCCATCACCTTAGAGTTTAAAGAGCCCTGGCAGCGTAGGCTCCAGATGATGAAGTGGCATGTTCAGCCCTTGGAGGGGACAGGGAATGTATTGCACTGGGATTCCCTGGGGGGCTCACAGCTCTGGGAGATAAAACATGACTGATTCTTTGGTTTTTTTATCCATGTCCTGTTGCATCCCTTCACAAAGGTGCCTGGAGCCCTCCAGCTGTGTCAGCACATGCTGGGTGGGAGCCCCATGCTCACTTTTGTACATCCCTTGGCTTTGACTGGAGAGTTTCAGGAATCAATGAAGAACCAGCAGAAAGTGGCCCCGTCCCAAAAAACTTGCCATCTGACTTTTGGGGATTCTGGCATCAAGCAGGTCCTTCCTCCTGCCCCTTTTAAGTAGACCTTGGACTCGCAGCAGAGCAGCTGAGAGGGAAACCAGACTGGCTTCTCTCCCCTGTGCTCTGACCGGTCCAAAAAACCAGCATCTTCTGTGGCAGGTGGGGAGTTTGAGGGAGCAGTGTTTGTGCTGGGGGAGTTATTTCACTTCTGGGGTTCAGTCCTTTGCCCCACAGTTCCTATTTAGTTGGAGATAAAGGGTCAGGATCATTTCTGATTCCCATGACAGAATATTCTCCATCTCTGGAAATTTCCAGCCTAATTATTTGCCAAAAAAAAAAAAAAAAAAAAAAAAAAAAAAAAAAAAAAAAAAAAAAAAAAAAAAAAAAAAAAAAAAAAAAAAAAAAAAAAAAAAAAAAAAAAAAAAAAAAAAAAAAAAAAAAAAAAAAAAAAAAAAGAGTTTTGGAGTCATGTTCTGAGGCAAATCTCCAGACTCTTTTATATAAGTCACCCACTTTCTGTTCAGTTTGAGGTCAGGAGAGGCCCTTGGATGTGTGGGGTGAGTGAGCACTGGCACTGCCCCTGCAGTTTGAGTGAGGTTGGTTTGTCTCTCAGTGGGTTGAAGGCCTTGGGGCAGAAAGAGCCTGTGTTTGGTGAGTCACCTGTAAACTGTTTGGGTGCAAGGTGCTGGGGAAGTGTGAAGTGGTACAAATCATTTGATTGTATTTTGTTAAGGCAGCTGCCAGTGTCAGAGTGATTCTCAGGTGCTGTAGTGGGGAATTCCTAAACAATGGAGAACAGGAATGTTTGTGCTCCTGGGGCAGAATTTTCCTTTAAAATCGAGGTTCTGCTCTCCCCAATATTCTCCATGTTCGCTGCAGGAGAGACAGGAGTGTCTTATCAGGTGTCTCTCTTTCTTTGTTCAGTGTTGGGTGAAAGACATCAGTCACATTTTCAGTGATGCCAGAAGGTGCCCCTAAAAATAGAGCCTGGGGTGAGAGGGCAGAGACAGAGAGGCTGCAAAGTGCCTCAGGCAGAGTCACCCCCTGGGAGGTGGAAGGATCAAATTGGTTTATTTTCAGGTTTTATTTGTTGGTAGAGAAAATACCTGTTCTAACTTGAGAAAAACACCTAAGAGCATAATATTGTGCTTGCCTCCTTTGTACAGGGACTCTTTAATGCAGTGAAGTATAAGATAATTAACTGGGAGTTACCTGGATTTTATCCTCCCATCCACCCAGTGCAGCTGTGCCACAGCAAGTAGGAGATGCCTTTCATCCTGTAGAAACTCCATGTTCTCCAGTCCTTGTGCTACAAGTTGCTAAAGCCCATACACTGGGATCGTTATGACATCTCAGAAGGCATTTTCTAATTTTCATCTCTTTTTTTTTCTGTAAAAAAACCCTACCCCAGTGCATCTTCTCATCAGTTTAGTTTCTCCAGTCTTCTCTGCATAGGACTGAAGTTATTATATCTAATACAACTGTGAGCTTGTGTTATCTGTGGAGTTTTTTTATACTTCAGTCCATAGTTGAGGCAAAAAATCTATTTGAAATCTGCAGAGAGAACAGAAACTGTCTTGGCATTAGAAATAATCTTACTAGTTATTCATGCTGATAGATCAGGCTGTGCAGGCTCTGCAGAGCAATCTTTAGACACACCTGAAGCAGACAGGGACTGCATTCACTGCTGCTGGAGTGGGGAGAGGAGAAAAGAGCTGTGCAGAGGCTACAGGAACTCATTTAGGATTTTGGAAGTGCTAAATTTAATTCCCTGCCCTGCCACGGACTTCCAGTGTGAGTCTGGAAGAAGCATCTTTGTGACTGACTTCCCCATCTTGAAATATGGGATATAGAGCATTTCCTGATTCCACAGCTCTTGATAAACACATAAATAAAATTAGCAAGCTTGTGATACCTGTGTTGAATGCTGTGAAACACTGGGACACTCTGGGATTGGGATGGTCCCACTGGTCCCTCACAAGTGACAATGAAAGGGCTCAGGGATATGAGAGCTGGGACTATCCAGCATTGCTGGGGAGAAGGGTGGATTGGGAGGTAACTAGCAGGTAAAATTAAAAGTACAAATGCCCATGAACTCTTTCTTTGTGTCATATGAGCTCCCTGGTTTGTGTGGAAAGGCAGAACAACCTTCTGTTTGGGTATTTCTGAGCCAAACGGACCCTGGGCAGACAGGAGCCATCAGCAGCCCAGCTCTGTGATGAGCACAGGGTCGTCCTGCTCCATGCTGACCATCAGTCACCCAGTTTGTGCACGGGGGGGGGGGGTCTTCTCCAGCCCCAGAGGAGCTCCTTTGTACGATGAAAGCACTGCTGAGACACCAAAAACTCAGAGGAAATGAGGGGCATCTTCCCACCTCAGTGCTGACTGAGGTTATTCTTTGGAAATTCTGGGATGAGGAAGCTTTTGAAGCACGTTTAGTAGTGAAGAGCCCCAGGGCTCCCTTCTTGTGCAGTGGCTTTCAATCTTCTGCCCTGGCTTTGAACAGCAAACTTGTTCTCAGCCTCCCCTCCACCTGTGGATCTCCAGGCACCTTCCAAAGAGGCAGCCACCACAACCTCTGTTTATATGGGCTCAGAAAACATAAAGATTACATGATTTACACAAAATTTATCCACCTTTCTTCTTCTTGCATGTGTTGAAAGGTGTTGGTGTTGTGGGCTGTTCAGTCTCAGTCATACACAGGCAGGAAATAAAAGTAAATAAAAGGATGGAGGGAAAGATGCCTCTCTCAGGGGAATCAAAGCCCCACCTAAGTCAGTACCTGTCTAACAGTCATTATTCCTCAGTGTCAAAGGCCATTTTTTCCCTAAGATTTTTCTTCTTCCTTCGTCTTTCCACCAGCACTCAATGTTCAGCAGCCAATTCCTTTATTCTCTTTGGGTGCTGCTGCTTTCATATTCTTTATTCTTCTGCCAACTTTCCCATATTTTCAGTGCCTGCCAATTAAAAATTTTGTTCCCTTGCAGCAGTGGAACCCAGAGGAGAATTATGTGGCCCAGAGGAACCTGGGCACAGCAACCTTGTCTTTGTTTTATGTGGTGTGGGCCGAAGGGCAGCAAAACAACCAGGTCAGATTTTCCAGTAATATTTGTTTGGTATTATTGATTGTTTATTGAGTAGTATAGGACTCGTTTGGAAAAAAAAAAAAAAAAAAGAGGACAGAACTGAGTAAATTTCTGTTTTGGGAAGGTGTGGGAGGTTTGCTAAAGAACAGTTGCTCAATTATTCTCATAATGTGAGAAAACACAGGCATCAGGTTTAAAAGAAACAAAAGAAGTGTCTGTTTTTACACAAACTCGATGACAAATTCATGTCTTTGAACTCCTCCTGCCTCCAGTTTAGTCCTCTCCAGCAGCAAATCCTCTCCCCAGTTAAACTGGTGTTCACTTCAGCAAGATGGTTTAAAGGGAAAAAGCCACCCTGGTCAGCAGGGAAAAAAGTTTCTTGCAGACTTCTCGTGCTTTCCCGTCTGTGATGTCTTCAGCAAGTTGCTGGAGCTGTCAGGAGGCACCTCAGCTCTGCCAGGCAGGGTTTGGGAGCAGCTCTGCCAAAGGTTCTCACCTCAGCCCAGCCTGACTCTCCCCAGCAGATCCAAGAGCCCGAAATGTCACCGCTCTGTCATCGGGGCAGAGGCTCAACAGCAGCGAGGCTGATAAAGAGCCTCTCTGCAAGGGTGATAATGCACTGACTCACAGCTCCTCGGGCAGTGGCCTGTCCTGAAGGAAGGCAGCTTTGTAAGAAGTGACATTTTTATTACCCTGGCCTCGTTTAAGCAAAGATGGGAAATGCCAAAGGAACAGAACGGGGGGTGTGACTGTGAGAGGCAATTTGGCCTCCCGGAACTCTGTGCTGGAGGGAGCAGGGATTTCCAGACTGCAGCTGGAATCTTTGGGAGGTGCTGGCACATATTTACCATTTTGTGGAAGAGATGTTTGTGCTTGGCAGCAGTGGCAGTTTATTACACGGGGAAGGGGTTAACCAAGTCCTTACATGGTGACAGTGCTCCTCCTAGAGCACCTTGTCCTGCGTGCTGAAGTTTCCAGGGCAGTTAAAATAATACTAAACAAAAAAATGACAGCAAATTTCCTCGTGCCTGGGATCCCACAGACTGTATCACAAATTTTACCATCGGGGAATTAAGGCAGAGGGGAAAGCAGTGATTTACTCAGAATTAGAGAGAAAATACATTTTTGGAGAAAATCATCTGAAGCAGAGAGAGCTGGCTGGTGTGCAGCCAGCCAAAGCTGCGCTCAAACTGCTGACCAAGATCGTTCTTTTTAAAGAATCCAAAGCAAAAATTCAGCTGCTCAGTTATTTCCAGTAACCACGTAACTGAGGTTCCGTTTCTCGTACGATGGGAGAGTTGAAGATTAAACATCAGGAGGAATTGTGTGGCCAGGGAAGTTCTTACACAGCAGGAATGTTTCTGCTTTAGTGGATCACTTGTAAGGTGTTCCTGAAGGTTTCCAGCAAGATTTCAGTTGCCCTGTAGTTGGAGATCAGTAGCACTACAGAAGGGATGTTGCCAGTCCTTGGAGTGCTTTAGTCAAAGCAGGCTTTCTCTGGACATTCACTCAGGGGCAGTTCCTCTTGCCTGCTCCACCAGAGGGATATTTCTAGGGATTTAGGCTTTTGGACTGTTTTTATTCAGTTCTTTTTAACATGTTCTAAGATCCTTTTGGTCTCTTTGGTGTGAACCCAGAAGATGAAACCTTACACTAGATTAATGTCTCGAAACTGATTTTTCTGCCTTAGTGTCAGTGAAACTCAGCTTCAAACATAACTTTTATAATAACATTATCTTTAAAAGCAGCCCTTTTAAAATTGAAAACATGCTACACTTGCCTGGTTTTACATTCAGATTGATTAAAAGCTTTTTATCTGAAAGGAGTAATTTTAGATTAATCGATCAATGCAAACACACATCAAGAGGGATATTCACAAGAAGAAAGCAAAGAGGTTCTTCACTACCTGATTCCCTTTAAGGCAGAGGATGGGAGGCTTCTTTCCCTATTAAAGACGTGGGGGGAAAAGTGTGTGATTGTTCTGCCATGTGAAGCGAGAGTCAATGTCATTATTGATGCTAATTATTCGACAGATGGTTGTTATTTGACAGATAGTTATTATTTGACAGCCCCTGGCAGGCACTTCCCACGGGTGTGGGGACAGACAGCACGGTGCAGAGGGGTCGGGAGATTTCCAGTGCAACAGGCAGTGAGAAAAGATGTGTCTAAATCCACTGTGAGCCAGCTCTCAGGAGCCCAGGAGGGACAGAAATAGAGGTGGGGGTGAATATTCTGCCAAAGGGAACGCACAGCACCGGGGTTATCCAGGGTCGCTGCAGTGGGGTGGCAAACCCTATCCCTTCCTAATTGACCACCCCAGCACCACTAATCCCTATTATTTCCCCCTCCCTGTGGCTGCACAGGCCCAGAAACCTTCCAAGCAGGCAAATGTGGCAGCGTGAAGCAGCTCTGGGGCTGAGCTGGGGACAGATGGTTGGGCTCCCTGCGAGCAGGGCCAGCGGGGCTGGTTCCAGCAACAGGCTCCGGCTGCTTCGTTGGAGTCACGATTGATGGTGACTTATCCAAGGGCTCAGAGTAACTCTTTGCTGTTAACCAGACTTGGCTGCAGCAGAGTGGAAGTGGAGATTTGTTGCCTCATTTATTCATCCTGCCTCTGCTTCCTTCCCGCCCACCCTTCGTGCTTTTTAATACCGAAAAGATGAAGCTGCTTCGCTCAGACTTAAAATTGTCTCTCCCAAGATACTCTTAATTGTAGCTCTACACCTTTTCTCATTCACAGGAGCATAAGAAGATTAAAGATAGAGGGAGCAGTAATAGATTTAGTTAGGTTTTAATAGGATTTGCAGAGGACAATGCAGGAGAGTGAACACCACAGAAAATATTGCTGCTCTATCTTTGATATCCCTAAGGCTGCTTAGGGAGTCTTTGATGGAGATTTTGTCTGTGCCCTGCATCCAGAGTCAAGGCTCTCATTTTTTAAAGGAGTATCTAATCACCTTAGCAAACAGGATGTTACATTATAACCTGCAAAAATCATTGCAGCCATCATTTTGCGTTATTTATTTGTGTCTCTGCCAGCAGAATTCTGCATGTGGACAGGGGGATTTTAATAAGTGGCTGATACATCTCTGAAAGTGCCTGGTGATTTTGTCTGATGTCAGGGGTGAGTTCTGAGAGATCCCATTAACAGCAGGCCTGGGTTCCTCACACTCTCAGCTGTGGAATTCAAGGTGCTCAGTTCAAGGTCTGGTTCATGTTTGAAGACCCAGCTCACAGAATAAACTTCCCCAAGGTGATTCAGCACTCCTGAAATCTGAATTATCCCTGGAGATGCCTTTCACTGTTGACTGGGAGGGAAATTCTCCTGCATCATTTAGACTTGGGGTGAGGTTTAGGTAGACAGTGGCACTCAGCATTTTCTCTTTATTCCTAAGGTTTCTCTTGATTTGCACCCAAAACCTGAGGCATCAAAAAACTCCAGCCCCTCTAGAACAGATGTGTGGATGTATCTTGACTTCGTTCCTAGTTGTGACCTCAAGCAAATTTGGTGTGCAAAAAAAATAGAAGGACAAAAAATACCCCCCAAAAATGTCCCAAGGTTTAACTGTTTCCTGACTCCCAACCTTGCCCATCACCAGGTTTTTCTGAGGTTCCAGGAGTGACTGGCAGCTCGCTGATGTTTGAAGAGCCTGTGGATAATAAATCACTGTTTAACTTTGCAGCATTGTATTGATTTGGATTTATATTTATTGTATTTCACAGAGTCACAGAATCTCACTGAATATTCTGAGTTGGATCCACGAGGATTATTAAATCCAGCTCTGAAGTGAATAATGCACAGGGGGGATTGAACCCTTGACCTTGGGGTTATTACCAACTGCGTTCATCTCAGGGACATTATTTATGTCTTTATATATATTTATTATATCTGTATATTTGTTATATTATTTATATAGATATATATTTGTCATATTGTTTATGTATAGTTGTTTATGTTTTATATATTATATTTATATATTGTATTATATAGTTATTTGCATATAATTATATATCATTAATAATATATCATTAATTATATATAATATATTCATATATAAATATATAACATACATATTTATCTATTATATTTATATATTTACTACATTATTTATTTACATTTATTATATTTAACTTAGCAGCAATATATTTAACCAGTGGCTGTTGGAGGAGAAGAGCTGAACCCTCTCAAAGTGTTTCCCAGCACAAGTTCCGATGGTGAAACAGCAAAACAAAACAAGGTTTGTCTCAGCCATTTTCCTTCTATCTTAAACTGCACTTCTTTGTTCTGCAGCCCAGCCATGGCTGGAGATTCCAGGATCTTCATGAACCAGGACATGGACATCGGAGTGACCTCCAGGGAGCCCAAGAAGATTCCCAAGCAGGCTCGGGACGATGTCCCCATCGCCACCGATCGGACCCGCCTCATCTCGGCCGAGGGGAAGAAGCCCCGGCAGCGCTACATGGAGAAGAGCGGCAAGTGCAACGTGCACCACGGCAACGTCCAGGAGACCTACCGGTACCTCAGTGACCTCTTCACCACGCTGGTGGACCTCAAGTGGCGTTTCAACCTCCTGGTCTTCACCATGGTCTACACCGTCACCTGGCTGTTCTTCGGGTTCATATGGTGGCTCATCGCCTACATCCGGGGGGATCTGGACCACCTGGAAGATGAGAACTGGATCCCCTGCGTGGAGAACCTCAGCGGGTTCGTGTCCGCCTTCCTGTTCTCCATCGAGACGGAGACGACGATCGGTTACGGCTACAGGGTGATCACGGAGAAGTGCCCCGAGGGCATCGTGCTGCTCCTCATCCAGGCCATCCTGGGCTCCATCGTCAACGCCTTCATGGTGGGCTGCATGTTCGTCAAGATCAGCCAGCCAAAGAAAAGGGCTGAAACCCTCATGTTCTCCAACAACGCCGTCATCTCCATGAGGGACGAGAAGCTCTGCCTCATGTTCCGCGTCGGGGACCTCCGCAATTCCCACATTGTCGAGGCCTCCATCAGAGCCAAACTGATCAAGTCCAAACAGACCAAAGAAGGAGAGTTTATCCCCCTGAACCAAACGGACATCAACGTGGGGTTTGACACAGGAGACGACAGGTTGTTCCTGGTGTCACCCCTGATCATCTCCCATGAAATCAATGAGAAGAGCCCCTTCTGGGAGATGTCTCGTACCCAGCTGGAGAAGGAGGAGTTCGAAATTGTGGTCATCCTGGAAGGAATGGTGGAAGCAACAGGTAAGGGTCTGCCCACAGCCAGTCGCAGTTTTGAGGGGGGAAGGGGTAAAACGAGGGGCAGTTTGGCAGTAAGATTTTACTGCCAGTGTCACCTGGAATGAGAACGTGGTCCTTTGTCCTTCTCAGGGGGGATGTTGTGGTCTGAGATAAGCAGCACTGAAAGATGGGTCCTCCAGCTCCTGTTTCACACTCCTTTTGTAAGTCTGGTATTCAGGCAAAGGAGTCAGTCATGGAGCTGCCCATAATCACTTAGAACTGATCCCTGGGAAAAGGGAATGGGTTAAAGGAATTCCTGAGGGTTGTCATGGTCCTATTTCCTGTGATCAGAACTCATGGCACAAATCTTTGCCCATTCCTCCTCTGTAGTAATAACTGGCTGTAACTGTGCTGTTTGAGGTATTGCTGTGGTGTTGCTTTTCAGTGGGGGCTGTGAAGTGTCCAAGTCTTGCTGTGTCCCATAAACCAGCACGTGCTGAAGCTCAATGACTTGCACGTGGTGCAGGACACACATTTTTCAAAAGGAGCTCAAAGAGGAAAAAATACAGAAACTGCTGTTGTGCCTCTTGCAGCCCAGCAGCTGTTGAACAGCTTAGACAGAGCTGTGTAAAGGGTGGATTAGGAGATCTGCTCAGCCCATTCCCAGTTTCCTCCTAGGGGGGTGCTTGTGGCAGGTGATGAAAGAAGGTTGTGTCCATACACAGTAAATCTGGAAAAGCTCTGGGCCTCAGCTTTCCAAAGGGTAGAAGGGTGGATGAGTGGATGGATGGCCACAGAGGCCTCCAGGCTGCTTCCCACAGGTATCTCCCAAGCTCTGGGTTGGGAGGAGGGTGACCCTAAAAGTCCTGGCACCCTGGGGTCATTTTACCTCTTGCAGCCAGTTCCTTTGTTCCAGGTGTTCCTTTAGCTCCTGTTGCAGTGTTTTCACACTCCTTGAGTGAGTCTGGGATTCAGGCAAAGGAGTCAGTCATGGAGCTGCCCAGAATCACTTAGAACTGATCCTTGGGGGAAAAAGGAAGCTGAAAAAAGCTGTTTTTCCCCTTTGTGTGAGTAATTTAGTTGTGAGGTGGCCTTGTGAGCCCAACATTTTCCTGTTGGTGATGGCTGGATATTTTTTTTCCATCTTGATGAAGTTCCCTCTGAATCACTAGCAAGGATTTTCAGCTTGGCACAAGTACCTGGAGGGATCAGCACCCTGTCTCCCAAATTCTGGCCTTTGCTTACTATGAATATTATTCCCTCCTTGAGATTTGTCCTTGTTGAGGTCCTGACAGCCTGAGGAAGGGGAGTCTCTCAAATTCCTGCATGCCAGACTTTTCCTTTTAAAGACAGAGAGTGTCCCAGTATGTTGCTTCAGTCAGCAGGTGATCAGGACTTAGCCAGGGAGAGCTGCTGGGAGATGGTACAGAGGTTACACTGCCCCAGGGCTGGGGTTTGCACTGCAGAGATGGAATTTATCAGATGTTCTTCCCCAGCAGAGCACTGGCAAAAGAAGGGGTAGGTGGAAAAGGCTGTCAAAGATTTGTAATGGCAGCTTATTTGAGAGCCTGAACATTTACTAGAGACCAGAAGCTCCCAATCTGAGCGTGGAATGTTGCTTGTTTGTCCAAAGCCTCTTTCCTCGTCACACAGTGATGCTGTAAATTCTGTCTGAAGCCCTTTCCTCTCAGTGAGGCTCAGCCTGTGTGAGGGGAAGTCATTATCAATAACAACCCTGGAATTAAAAGCATGGCACAGGAATAATGTTGCCTTACAAATGGGCTCCTGTCCCAGAGGGATTGCACAGCCGGTGTGTGATGACATTAAGGAGCACATATCTGTGCAAACGAGTTCTGCTGGGCTCAGCCAGGCTGGGAAATGAAAAACTGGAGCTGGGAGAGGCAGTTTGTGCTGAACCCAGGGCTGAATGGACCTCAGGTGATCCCATGATCCCGTCCTGAGGCTGGGATGGGCTCTGAGGGACATATGGCAACCGGGCAGGGGGTGTTTTGTCACGAGGAGAGTCACCTTGCAGAGACTGTTTGTGCTTCCCTGCTTCATCCTCACACTTGGTAATATTGATAAAGCCCTTTGGGGGATATTAATCCCGACCTTTATGCCTTAAAATCTGCTCCAGCAAAATTCTTCAGGTTTCTTCCCTTGCCATTTCACCCTGCCAGCCCCATCTGCTCCCAGGGATGGTGTCATACACTCACAGCAGGACTGCTGTTAAATCATGACACTGTCACAGCCTGGTCTGGGTCAGGGCAGTATAAAAATACAGCAGGCCATTTGTTTCCTTAGTAACCCCTGTGAAAAATCAGGATCCATCACCACGGGGTTCACCTGGCCAGGATATGCAGCTCCATTCATGGAGCACGAGAGGCCACCAGTCCTGGGTGCTCTGCTCTGCACTTGTGGTCAGCAACAAAATTAATGGAAACTCATTCCATCTTCACAGGCAACAGCAAATCCCACCCTAAATGCATCCAGTGCTGGTGGGGAAACACAGCTGTATTTTTCGTGAGGTGTTTTGGCAGCAGGTCAAAACGGTCATTGGGCAATATAGAAATGACTAAAGAAATTTAAGTGTGATGCCTTGACTAAAAGTGTGAATACTTTTCATTGATAATTTGGGACAGCAGTTTTATAACTATTTTCAATAGATTTAACCAGCCACACACATATTACAAATTAAATGTATCATCTCTTCTCAAACAAGTAGCTCTATTTACTGACATTTAAGTTTAATTCTGATCTAGTGGAAAGCAAAGAGAGTAAAGAGTTTCAAATGAAAAGTGTAGAGTAAATTCTGAGGAGTTCACACCCTTCAAGTAATTGTTTGTTGTTTCATTTGGTTTTTTTTTTTTTTTACAAAACAAAACATTGTGGTTTAAAACAATGTTTTTGTTTTCGAGTTGACTTGAATTTTTAAAAGCCTGAATAACAACACACTCAAGAACAGCAGCACAGCAGCCAGGCTAAAATGTAATGTTTTTATTTTGCTGGAAAACACAGTAAACATCGTGTTATTGTAGCGAGAGCTCTCCAGGGACTCAGGGCTGCTCCCACAGAACCAGCTGTGGCACAAAGCCCACTGATGTGGGTCTTGCCCATCAATCTTTGGGTCTGGGTGAGGCACCGGGAGTCCCCAGGAGGATATAAAAGGCCAAAGGGAGGGGCAGTTCCTGGGCAGACCTGTCGGGATCATTGCCCGGTGAAAGGAGCGCTGTAAAGACAATATCGATCTCAGTGACAAGTGTTCTGCCTCCCAGGGCTGCTCCAGGGCAGCAGCACCACTCCCAGAGCCTCCCTGATGGACTGGACCAGGGATGACTGCAGGGAATTAATTCCCTTTGCCCTGATCAGAAAGGGACACTCGGCCAGCTCAGCTGCCCCAAATCTGACCTGCAATAAAAGGCACTGAATGGACTTCTTCTTCCACTGCCTGTGCTTCCCACAGTGGCAATGAAATCTTGGAGCCATCCTGCTGAAAGAGCAGCTCCAGGCTCTTGTCAGGCAGAGCTCCTGCCCTTCCCCTCCTGCTCCCCAGAGGGGCACAGTGTGGAAAGCAAAGCTGCTGGGGCAGACAGAGGGAGCAGAGATTCAGACCCCCCCTCCACGTCAGGCAAAGGCAGCTGGGCTGGGATGGACAATTTGACTCATCCTTCCCTTCCCTTCCCTTCCCT